TGTTTAACTATTCAGCAGTGGGGAACATGAAGACAATACATCAAGATTTGGGGGTGATTAGGAGCCACATTAAATATTTATTTCTATTACATTTTGATGCACAATAAAAATGGGGGGGTGAGTTACCGATTTCCAGCTGTAAAAAAGCAGTTCACCCTGTAGCCTGCAGAGAGATTGAACAGCACAGATGGCCCAAATTAATAAAATGTTATTTAAGTATTGACTCTGTAAGCCAAGACATAAAATACCTAAAAATATTGGCTGTCACACCGCCCCTAAAGACATTTTTATTTTTATGATTTATTTAAAGCTATAAACTTGTGTAGTTTGAAAGGTTCAAGGTGTGAGCAAAATGCAAGTGTTTAGGAAATTTGACTTTAATAGAAATAAATGTCCTAATAACACAATATATTTATTTTGGGGGGGGCGTCATAAAAAACAAATTGAGTCAATTGTTTATAAAGGAATACCACAAGTTCGATATCCTACATGCTAGATATAAACTAAGACTATAAATTATTCTATAGCTGTTTTTGCCCAAAGCTCCAACTTCTTCAATTGAAAAATGAGGAGAGAGTGTGCATGATAAAACTGATGCTTTTGTGGCAAAATTCAGTTCGAAAATAGTTCGATTTTAATAGAAAGCGAAGCAATAATGATAGATATAAAAACCTCTTTACATTACAGGCTGCTTGCTCTCCACCCAGAAAATGTCACCACTCGGTCTCAGTATGTTTCAGGAATATTAAAAAGTCAAAAAGTTATTAAATTAAGTGAAAGCAGTAAATATGCTTTGACAGAAGGCAGATACAGACATTTTTACATGGGCTATAGGCCTCTCTATTATGCTGTGGTGTACACAATTGGCCTGTGGAGGAATACTGTAAATTTAATTTTTAACTGCTCATAATAACTCTTGTTGTAGAAGTGACGATACATTTTAAAGTGGAGGAAGACACAAAAGTCACTGCACCAAAAAAGTAACTGTATTGGTTGTCTTTGTGGAGTAATTTCTTTCCAGATATCTCTCAATAACCCGCAACAAATTATCATCACCTTATAAAAGGATATAAAAACACATTGTGATCAGGAAAATTATCAATGATTTCTATTGTTTTGTTATATTATTTTATATTAGAATATTTTAATTGTTTATTCTCACCTGGAGCATCTTGACGCCTAGCAGTGAAATATTCTAAAACCTGTCTCATGTTTTATTCTTATTTAAACTAATAGAACAAACTGTGGAAGGAAGCCTGTCAAACACTTTTGCATAAAGCCTGAATTAAGAGCCACTGTCTCCATCTCCACTATTTTTAGACGTCTCTTAAGTGCTTTTTTATCTTTTGTTCAAACATCAAATGACATCGGTCAAAATTTCTTTTAAACACACAAATGTAAAAAAAAAAAAAAAGACCCATTAAGTATTCAAATGTGAAATGTGCAATGTATTTACTTAATGTATCACATCAGATAAACTGAGTCTGGTGTAGACACTCAGACACCCAAAGCAGAGGGAGGGTTAAGACTGATCTGAGAGTGACGTGCACTAAACCACTGAGGAGTTGGGGGAGTATCGGTCTCTGCTGAGAATTAGTCACTGATAAGGTATATGAAAACTTTTTTCGGTTTTATGAATGCCGAACATTCTTCTCAGTGGTACGGAGGTTATCCTTCGTAAGGATACACTGTAACCTCTTACAAGTACGATGATAAGAGTCCCGACCAAGGAAGACCGAGGGCAGACCAAAAGACCTGACATGCACTCATCCCTGTTTCTGACTCACCGACACACAGTGAAACCTTAGTCCCAATGCCAGGTTTTGTCACTGGGCAGAGAACTGGTTGGCTACAGTAAAAGCATGACGTGATGCCCCTTCCTCCATGCTCCCCCAGCCTGTGCAGCAACAGAGGGGTAAAAATATCCCACCACTGAGTTCAGACAACCAGCTCATAAATTAACACTAAAACTCCTGCAGACAACAGCGGGCCAGTCGCTGAGAGATTTAAACCACTCAGGTTGCCACTGACCACAGCTCTGGGATCAGCTTACAAAAGCCTTTTCCTAAATTTACCCATTAGTAAGTGGTGAAGAAGAACAAGATCTAGATCCGCTTTCATCTAAGTCACTATTTAGCTGTCCACTAGTGAACTATTTTTCAAAATGGCTCTGGGGTGCTTTCTTCCAAGAAATGTTATGAGGTGAGATGCAGACTATTAGGGCCTAAATTGGGGATTGTGTAGAGCAGCCAGGTCTGGTCTTAATTTCCCAAGCTTACATAAAAAGTATAGGTTTAAGCTCAGCTATTCACTCATATCTTGTTATGGCTCTACCATAATGAAGCGCAATTTCTCATCGCTGTCAAGTAGAAACACGATGTTCTAGAAAACTGCTCGACTGGGTCAAAAAAGGAGAAAAAAACGAGAGAGAAAAAACAACAGGAGAGAAGAGTGATGATCCCCTCTAAAGAAACTCAACTCTGTAATGGACGAACAGGGATTACAGACGTTAAAACCTCCTCCATCTGTAATTCACTGTCACCCTGCCATCATCTCTGAATCACTGATCCATTTTGCAAGTGTACGAGACCTTGCTAAAAGCATCACTGTTGCACCCATTTGTGTTTGTAGTGGTGGGGAGGGAGAGGAGGAAAGAGAAAAAAAAATCACGCAGAGAAGACAAGTTAACAGCTCGCTGTGCTGTTTCAAAGCACTCTCTGTCCTGTAACAACCACCTAGCTAGTTTCTCACACAGGGAATAGGACACACTGATCAAATAAGATTTTAATGAACATCAGCAGTTGGAGCCTGAGGAATAGACGTTACGATGGCTTAAAGCTACTGACAACTAGGTTGGGTTGGATTTTCATCATCAAAAGAAACAGACAAAACCCATTCCTTTGCTGCTGCCTCTCGCGTACACAAAACAGACTGTGATTTTTAAGTGCACGCTGTCCGTTCGATCGCAAGGAAGACGGAAATTAGAACACAATTGTCTGACAAGGCCACGGGCAGACGGTGATCATATCATGCTAACCTCACATTATCCTCAAAAAAGGGATTAAAAAAAGGTTCTCCTCTGAAGGCTTTCCTCTAGGAGCCTCTCAGTGGGAGGGAGAGTAAATAAGATGTCATCAATAATAGACAGTGAATGTTCTGAGCAGTTCTGCACACACACACACACCAGCTCCGACTGATTCCTATCCTGCAGACAGGCCTGCCAACCGCCAGCCTTTTTGCACACGCTCAGATTCACTGTCCTGACTAATCGCTTGTGATAGGGGCCTTTGCCATAATTACCCAGGGCCTTATCACAAACTTATGCGATGCATTTTTCATGTCCTGGCTGCTGGCAGTGCCTTCACTGTCCGCGCTGGCAGTCAATCTACGCACACACACACACACATACATACACACACACACAAAAGGGACTGATCTCAGACAAATTCACACACTCACTCGCACCAGTTCAAACAGGGCGAAATGGGTGAAAGCAGGGTGAAGGGCCAGAGAGGAGGAAGAAAAAAAATGAAAAAAGGATGGGTGGGAGGAAGGGGGGGTGAGGGAGAGAAAGATTGGGGGGGGTGGCAGGAAGGGGGTGGGAGATAGATAGTGCAGGAAAGAAAAGAGAAAGCAGTCTGAAATGTTTTACATAATGCATGAACAAGGGGGCACGAGTAGGAGGACCAAACAGGATCAAATAAATAGGAGAAGTGGAGCCTTGGTGATGTGGCATAAGTGCAACACAAAGCACGCTGGGAAGACTTGCTCACTGTCCTTTTGTCTCCACAGTCATAGGGGCATCATGACCTAAATAAAAGTTTAAATCCCAAGCCCCCCGTGCGAGCCACAAAATAATGTATGAACAATTGTGGGGAGTAGATGAGGGGGGGGTGCAGCCTGCATAATGCAATCTTATGTTAATGACGACGGATGCTAATATTCATAAATTGTGATTTGAAATTCAGCAATGCACGTTAAATGCCACGGCAGGAAAAAAAACAACAACACAACAGTGCCATTGTCTGCGCGTCTTGTGATGGGTCATACAGGCTCTATAATGTACACAGGCTATATTCACCCAGGCCCCAATATTTCCCCCCCACTCGTGTCCCTTCACCGTGCCGTGGATCTTCCTCCCGTGCACGCCGAGATTAGTGGCGTGCGTGCGGCTGGGGACGTTGCCGGAGTTCATCATAAAACCAACAAGGTCACGATCGCTCGTGTTTCTACTATTTATATTCATGTGATTGCATCGCGTCAACAAACACTGTCCCGTCCACTTCCACAGACGTGGCAATGTCTGTAAAAAAACCCGTGTGTGTATAATTGCCGTCAGACGAGAGGAAACCGACAAAAAAAACCCACCGAGTTGATGAACCACGATCACGGAGACGACTTCAATATAACTGCTCCGAAAAAGCCGCTAGCCGATAAGGTTGCTAATGTTTTCATGCTCGGTGGAGTAAACTTCACATTTGTGTGTAGGAATAAAAGCAGAAAACAAGCTGTCGTGTGTCTGCGCTGGTGTCTGGTGTCACCACAGCGCCACCGTATAATGAGTCGCACTTCTTTTTTCCCCCTAAATGATCCAACCTTACAGCGGCTAAAGCGTCGGGCTAACTACGGCTACTCGCTCCGGTAAAAGTTGAAGAACACGCAATAAAAGGCAGCGAGACGAGCAGCTCCGCGGCTACAAATAAAAAATGAAAAAAAGAAGCGCCGCCGTTTTGTTTTTATCGCGGTGCATCCCCGCGGCGTCGCCCCGGCGTTGCCCAGTCGCAGTGTCCGATCGATGTTGAATTGAACAAAGAGGATCAATTTCTGATCAGCGAGAGAGCCACTTTCATCAATGCGAGGAAGAGGTCTTGGGTTCTCCTTCCGAAACACGTAACGAGGCGGCCGCCGGAGAAAAGGGCACCGCGAAACGCGGCCGGAGAGGCGGACGAGGCGAGCGAGGCGAGCGGGAGGTAGACGGTGTAAAGAGAGGCGGAACTGACCTGTAGTTGTTGTAAGTCAAAGCGCTTCCAATATTGAAACATCGATCCTGCATTGGCCGCCATCTTGAGACATATTGAGACAGGAATGAGATGCTGATAGAGAGCGCGGGGGTTGGAGTTCAGTGGAGAGGACCGGGCGGCCGGAACACCCGGGCCGGACCACTCCCACCGCTCACCCCGGCAACAGCTGGCGTGCGGAACGGAGTCGACGCGCGGGAGTGTTGCCTTAATAACGCCATTATAATTGCTTAAATAGCATTTTATCAACACTCAGATATTACAGGTAAATAACCGAGCTGGGGTTTAAATCATTGTTCAAGTGATCACGTTGGAATACACGAGTGCCAGATGAGCATGTTTCATGTATTTCAGCTCGGTTTGTCTTGTGTTGAGCAGGAGAGCAAAGATCACACAGAATTAATGCCAGGAGGCTACTTGGGAGCCATATGTAAAAAAAGAAAAAAAGAAAAAGAAAATTCCACCAAGGAAGCATTGAATTCAGGACCAGTTTCCTGTGGGAAATAACGTGATTTAATATCTATAGATTTTTTTGTCTATTAATAATCAATGTTCTTGCAAATTAAACAAATCTAAAACTGTTAGAATTAGAAATAAACATGTACTTGTTTTTCTTTTCAGTGTAACAACAAGGATTTTTGTAAAACGTCAAGCTAACGCTCACTGTTATGTTACACTCCAACAAAAAACAACACAGCAACCTGAATATTACATCCCTTGAGTTTGTTTTATTGTTTGAAAGTTAAAGATTTTTAGTAGAATATGAGGGACAATTTCACTAAATAAAATATAATGTAATATATATTAAGACAAATTGATAGATAGATACTTTATTGATCACGAGGGAAATTAATTCATTTGGAAAAAATAATCCAAACTACAAATATGACAAACTGATAAGACATTCAACACAAATTACAAAAATGAATACATGTTTGTGTTATATGATCCTTTTAATTTTAGGGGGGGGATCCATAATGTAAAGCTTTGCATGTTCAACAAAGGTTTGCTGGAGAGGACCTGCTGAACTTGGCCATCTAAAGAATTGGTAAAAGATGGAGTGGACTTAGATTTTACACAGGGAATTTTCCTGGTTCATGATTTTGTCATTCTACAATTATTAGATTCAGATAGTATAAGCCTGATCTGGTTGGTTAAGGCATCCTTTTGCAACACAGTTATTAAACAGATTAGTTAATCAAATCAGATTGCTGTGTTGTTAATCAAGTCAAGTCATTAATGCAGCAGGGACGGCCCGGTGGTTACAGTGTCAGTGTGCATACGTATCTTTTCCTGAAGTGACCTTGAGCAACGCACTGAACCCTGGCTGCTCCTGAGGCGTCCCTCCTGCTGGCCATGTCCTCTGACCCCCTCAGTGTGCGGATGTGCCTCAGAGGGATATGCAAAAAATCTCTAATTACATTGTATAGAAGGAGTGCTCTAAATTCCTGTGTCAAGCTGTATACGGCCTCATGCACCTAAAAAACTCATCTCTCCTCAGCATCAGCCTCCACACCAGAGCCCAGCTGCACAGGTCTATCAGGTTAACACATCTGCTGTGCACATTGTTTTCATTTTTAGCACTTTGTGGCTTCTTAAATTTGACTCGCCGAGCACGTTTGCGAGGCCTGGATGTGTGGAAAATCCACGCCTGAAGTCACACTTTGGAGTTTTGGACCCTACACCCTTTGTATCAGTTCCAACTTTGCCAAAAATATTCCATAGCTTTTATTTTCTTTTTCCCCAATCATTTTCATTTCTTTACAGCCACTGCACTTGAATTACACTCACTTAAAATAACATGAGAATTTGCCATAGATAATGACGCCTCACTGGTTGGGATACAAAGGTGCCCATTTTAGTGTTTTGAATCAGCTCAACTTTCAGGTCATTACTTGATTTGATTTTGCGTCTCCCTCCTCCCTCGGTATGAATGGGGCTCAGTGCTCAGCTGACATCCAGCTTTAGTGGTTTTGCCTTATTTTGTACTTCATTTATAGACATAATGCAGTGAATTACAGTCATTAAATCTCCCTTCACACCCAGTCACAAGTTTTTAATAAAATGTACAGACTCGTACTTTGCATTCAATCACTCAAACAGGGAGAACTGCTTTAAAATATCATTATGAATAGAGGCATACTAGCAGCATGTTTATTATTATTTTTGGCATGAGTTGTTGCTATGTAACCATATTGTGTTTTTCTTTAAGAAAACAGTTGAAGGAGCGATTGATCTGCACTAAGATACTGTGTGTGATAAATACTCTGCTGATTAGATGTGTTAATGAACTGATGGATCTGTGTGTTTTATCCCGTCATGTCTTTTCCAGTTTGCAGCATGTTTATCCTGGCTTGGCCTGCTTGTCTTGTGACGCTACCTGTTATGAAAACAAACCAGAAATACAGGCCTGTGACAATCCACACTGGCTGAGCAGCTCTGCAGTGTGTCCATCATGCTTTTTTATAAATCTGACAATCACCCTTGAGACACACAACTAAAAGAAACATGATGTATTTTTGTAACCAAGATGTTATTATAACTTGTAAATCTGAAAGTACTTCACACTATTTTATCAGTGATATCACCTTAAAGTAACTGCAAGATTCATGGCATTTGTATCAAGAAGTATTGTTATAAGATTATTCAACCCAGGGCATTGAAACCCCCCAATAATATAAACCAGCTGTCACTGTGTATGAAAAATATTGACACCATAATGTCGTTGCTTTTCTCAATTCAATTTAATTTGCTGCAGGGTCAATGGAAACAGATTTTTCACCACAAATTCATTGGAGCTACTTTGGCTAATAGCTAGTTGATATTATCTGGCAAGTGTGATGTATAAATAGTGATTATTTCTGAGGTATATCAAGTGATGAGTCATTGGTAAGAAATAATTATTTGATCTCTACTCCCCCAATGTTCCAATAATCAATATGGTTCACTTTTTAATTTGGACATTCAAGATTCTAATGTTTATTTGCTTCAAATACTGTACGAATTGTTAGATAGATGCAATTAAAAACTTTTATTTATTTTCTATATATTTACCCAGAAGAACACATTTTGTAACAGCACTCAGTAAAGTGCAGTCTTATAGTCACTCATAGATATCAATTCCCATAATGTGTCTGTTTTTTTCCATCAAGATCTATGAATTATTCCATGCGTAAATCAGTGAAAATCTAAACAACAACAAAAACGGTCTGTCAGGCCATGTTAGAGAAAGCGATAACAAAAAATACCATGCCAAAGTTTGAAAAGGTTTTTCTATGACCCATACCACACCAGTTTTGTGGTAATCCATCCACTAGTTTTTGTATAATATGTTCACAAACAAACAAATCGGACAGAGGTAAAAACAAAACTTCTTGGTGGGGGTAGAAGTAGAGCCCATAATACTTCATAATGACCGATGAACTGAACTTGAACATGATCTAAATCACACAACAAACAGAAGAATTGGAATGAAAACTCTACCCGAAATCTTTCAGCAAAACTTTTAATTAAACTCTGCTTCACAGTCTTTGAATCATTTGATTTTATACTGTCAGACCTGCATTTCAACACATAGCTCTGGTTTTCTTTGAAGCAGCGGGAGGTCTGCAGTCTAAGTTGGAACAGGTAAGAGACCGAGCTATCAATGCACCTACAAATTATCATGTTCCTGCTCTAGAAGCTTGTGCACCCCCCCCCCCACTTTTCTTTTTATTACACTATATTGTAAAATTAAAGAGCAGAACAAATGGCATGAATTGCTCAATTTTGACAGCAGAAGGAGTGTGTGAGGCTCTCAAATTTAGATTTAGCCTCATCTGATCAGTATATTTGGTTGAAGTTTTAAAACAGTAAAATAAACTCATGTTCCTTGTGTCAGTGCTGCTATTAAAAAATGATATTATACCCTGACTGAGCTACAGGGGAAATAACAAAATAAAACAACCTTTCTGTCCTTTAGCTTTCCCTCTTTTCTCTGTTTGTGTCCCTCTCCCTCACTGACTCTGCCTGTAAGGTGCTTTTAGTGGGCCTTGTGTGGCCAGGTTAGAGATGGATGTGTGGCCCTTGGGAGCTGCGGGCGGAGACCAACACTGATCATGTCAGACAGGCTGGGGAGGCGGTATAAGATCATCATCACCCAGCAGTGGAGTGAATCGCCGCAGTGGCACTTTCACACAACCTCTGACCTCTTGGGTAACCTCTGAGGTCATGATCAAGGTCAGGGGTCAGAGAGGGCCTCAGTGATCAGGGCGCCCGCAGGCCCCTCCTGCCTCTCCCTCCTCTACGTTCTCTCTCCCTTCATTTGTGTTTTTTTTCCCCGCTCTCTCTCTCTCCCTCATCTTCTATTGGTTTCTCTATCGCTCACGCTCTCCTTTACAGGCCGGGACCAATTGAGACATCCCGTCCCCTGGGAGTGCAAAAAGGAAGGCAAGAGAAAATCAATAGGGAAGATGAGTGAAGACCTGGGGGTCCCATCAAAAACTGAATGCTTCTCTCTGTTCTGGTATGATTCACACACCCAGAAAAACACTGATGTGCAGTGATACACACTGGCATCACCTTTTAGAGGCAGCAGGACAGAGGTAAACACAAATCTGGAAAATGGGAAAAACATACGCAAAATATACAGTTTGTGTATGTCATCATTCTTAAGTGCAGTATTATTTTAATATTATAAAGTTCCTTCAGTATACATTTAGAAATCGATTCAATTGTATTGTACAAAACACACTAAAAATGTGCTACTCTTGGTTAGCATATGAAAGTTGAATCAGTCAAAAAGAACACATTGCACACAGGATATTTCGCAGTTAAAACAGCCTAATATAATAAAACATATTAAAACAAATCAGAAAACAAAAAGTCAAATGTAGTGAGACTATCTAACTATCTATCTAACTATGTATGTATCTATCTATCATCCAAAGATGGCTTCCAAGATGGTTCTGAAATTTATTTATTTATTTTCTTCTCTCTCTCTCTCTCTCTCTCTCAATCAATCTATCATTAAAAGATGAGGCTGTAATGAAATATAGCGAGACTGTTTTCTTTTTTCCATTATTTCTGCGACAGCAAATGGCAAAGCTTGACAACAACAAAAGTTATTTTCTTGCACAAGGGAGAGGAAGAAAAGATGAAGCAAACATAAATGCCAAGCATTGTGCGTCTCCACGGCTATAATTTGAGCCAAACAAAATGTCACCATATCACCAATCAGTCCAGCTTTAATTATAGCACATTTTCTTGCAGCATTTGCATGCTTTAGTGCCACGTAGGATTAAAAACAATTAAAAAGCTGAACTGGAAGAAGATAAACAAGACTCCTTCATTGTGTCATTTCCTGACCTCAGTCACCTCTGAGGAAAGACGTGTGTCTGTATGTGTGTGTGCGCGTGTGTATAATGTGGATCCTCAGCATGTATCCATAACTTATGAGTTGCTGTGTTTCTTCCCAACACAAGATAACCCCGGGCAGGACATTAAATGATCGGCTGAAAATAGAACTGTTCAGATGAAAGGGAGGATAAATAATGCAGAAAGAATACAAAACCTCTTATGGGGATAACTAGTCACACGCACACCAGCATACACAAAGAAATGCTTTTCTTTTCTTTTTTTGCTTCTCCACGGTGCAGAAAAGTGAATGGATGTAACAGGAAGGAGGAGGACCCAGTGGAGAAGAAGACACACATGCTTCTTGCTTCATCTCCTCCCACTCCTCGTCTGCCATTTTTTTCCCCTTCTTCCCCTACTCAGACTTCATGACATACTCGTGTGTCTGTGGGGGGAAATAATGTTGTCCCAGTCACGGCGTGTTTTTCCTGCCCACCAGAGCTCACACTCCACACACAGTTGCAGCATCTCCAACCCTGTTGTCTCATCATTTTTTCATGAGTTTTTGATCAGAATTCATCCACACGCAGGCAAACAACCTGGGCAGCTGATCCATTTCTACACAGGTAGTGTCACCATCGCAGGGCTTTATCCTCCCCCTCATCTTATTTGTTTAGGTTCCAGCACCAAATTAAAACTGAATCATTTATTAACATTAACAATTTCTGGTTAGAGGGAGTTGCGATGCTGGGTCATAGCTGATAAATAAAACATCAGAGACAAACCTTTTCAAAGCTTCACTGCTGCATGACTAATATCCGGCTGAAATGTTTATTCATTGGACAAATTAAACATGTATGTTTGGAGATGATGAGTCCTAATGTCACTGCACTCCACAGGCTGCTTTGTGCTTGTGTATGGAGACACCTGGTGGTGAAGGGCCTGTGTAGCGTTTTCTATGAGGATCACTGCCTTGTGTGTGTTGTAACACCTGAAGTTTTCAACACTCAACCCATGAGATCTGATTGATTTTTTCATTCAATGTGAGTTAATTGGCCATAACTAAAGTGCTTTTATTCTAAAGTAGTCCAAATCAGGAGCTGAATACAACCATGTCTTGTTTAAAAAGTAAGGAGAGGACGAGTCTTGCCTATTTCATCAGCAGGGACTCCTCCCTGCAGCGAATGTGTTTGCTCAACCTAATAGAGCCTGGGAGGCAGCAGGCCTCACAAAGGCCCCATTCTGCAGTAACAGGAACTCCAAACCAGCAGTGCCACGTCCAAATGTTTGGACACACATACAGCTCAGAGGCTAAATGGGTTTCACTCTGTTTTGACCAAGAAGGCAACTTGAAATCAACCACCAACGGTGTTTAGTGCAGGACAGTCAGGAGACAACAATGCTCGGGGACGCTTTGTGCAGTGGACAGTTAATGGTTTCTTCGATAATAAACCGGCCTTTCAAGTTATCTGCTCAGGTAGTCACTTTCAAAGTAGGGCATGTAGGTGTGCCAGCAGGACGCAATAAACTCTGTCACTGATGTTTGCATTGTAAACGTCTTGGTGGACACAGGACAGCACACAGCTCGACTTTAAGACGTGTTTGAACTCTGCAGAGGCGTCAATGCGAAGGCAGCAGCAGCAACGGACACGCGCTCCGGGCTGGTTGGTCCCGGTGGGAGAGATGTGTTACTGCTTTATTGACAAAAGAACTCATTCTGCGTGCGTGGCCATCACAGTTGTTCTGTTACACCTGGTAATCGGCCTGCTTTACTTAACGGACCCGTTAACGCTGGAAGAGGTCGAGTCCAAGCAGAGCCGTGCGGTGACGCTCCTGATCTGGACTCATCCGTTCGGCCAACACCAAAAACTTCCGGACTGCTACGCGCTCTTTCAGGTCCCCGGGTGCACGCTCACCGACGACAAGAACGCGTACCCGCGGGCGGACGCTTTGATTGTCCACCACCGGGATGTCGCCACCGGCTCTGCTGAGCTGCCACCGGAACCGCGCCCGCAAGGGCAAAAGTGGATATGGATGAACTACGAGTCCCCGTCACACACACCCAAACTGCAGCTCTTTGAGGGAGTTTTCAATTTTACAATGAGCTACCGGGTGGATTCGGATATTTTCCTGCCGTACGGGTACCTCATCCCCCGTGTACGTAAAACCAGGATGATCCAGAACCGCTTTACGCACCCGCTCCACAGACCCTCGGGCGCAGACCTCCGCCGGCCCCGCCTAGTGGCCTGGGTCGTCAGCAACTGGTCGGAGAAGCACGCACGAGTGGCCTTCTACTACAAGCTCCGCCGGTACATCCACGTGGATGTGTACGGACACGCGGGGCGGCCGGTGCCAGACGACGGCGGCGTGGGAAGCTTGACGCAGCTGATCGGGCGCTACCAGTTCTACCTGGCGCTGGAGAACTCGCAGCACACCGACTACATCACGGAGAAGCTGTGGAACGCGGTGCAGGCTGGCGCTGTCCCGGTGGTCCTAGGTCCGCCCAGGAAGAACTACGAGCGTTTCCTGCGTCCAGAGGCATTCATCCACGTGGACGACTTCCCCACGGTGCGGGGCCTGGCACGGTACCTGCTGATGCTGAGAGGCAACCCGGACCGCCTCAGGCGCCACCTGGACTGGAGGGGGAGCTACAGCCTGTACCGGCCAAAGCAGTGGGCTGAACACTACTGCACTGCCTGCAAGGCGACGAGGATGAGCAGAGGCAGGACTGATGTGGTCGGAGATCTGAAGAACTGGTTTTCCTCCTGAAGACATCAACAGCACCTGCAGCAAGACACTGAACTGTGAACTGAGAGATCATTTCTCCCTGTGACAATGAGAGAGGAAAAACACTAACTGCTGCTTTAAATGAAATACATCTATTGATATAAATATATTGATATTAAATTATTTTTTAATTAATTACCTTGTGTCATAATTGAGAACAGTTTTTCTTAGAACTTTCAATCCCACGAAGTAAAGTTGTTTTTACAAATTACATCACCTACATTTTCCTACTGGACGAACAGACAGCCAAAGGCATCCAGTAGTTTCAAACATGCATACAGGGGAAGCAAAACATTTTTTAATTATGGAAGTAAAGTAAAAGTAGATTTCTTTGCAAATTATTATAAAAACATAAACTTTTAAGTAAATCTTATTGGCACCATTAAAGGTCCAGTGTGTAAGATTTAAGTGAAAGGGATGTATTGGCAGATATTTAATGTAGAATAATCCTCATGATGTTTTGGCTAGTTCGTTTAATCTAAATTGTATGAATTGTAGTTTTCTTTACTCTAGAAAAGACCCTTTATATTTGAATACTTTATATTTACATCGAGGGGGTCATCTCTACGGAGGCCGCCATGTTTTTTACAGTAGTGGTTTTTTGAGTTTTTATGACAACTGAAGCTACCACAGGTTCTTTTTCATGTTTGGAAGGGGAGGGTGAGGTGAAGGGCATTCAGCTGCAAGATGAAATTTCAACACTTGATATCACAAAATTCTACACACTGAACCTTTAAGTCAAAACTCATAGTTCACAGCTTTATAATCTTTACAACACAGACACCTGACTGACCTTCCTTGGAATCTTGATGCAGGCTATTTCATAAAGTAAAAACCTTTTATTGATTGTTTAATGAATTTGCAACAGCTACAGATTTCTGTGTCTAACATTACAATAAGAACATCCATTTGCAGAGATGGAACTTATAATAATTGATGAATAATGTCAAAATCCTTGTTTGCAATTTTAGTTTCATGCATCTTATGGCCTATACAGTGTGAAAATACAACTTACTAAAGAATTAAGGTTACAAAATGATAAATAAAGCAAGATTGACATCTTTGAGATGCAACTTTTGGACATCAGGGCTTGAAAAGTAGAATAAAATACCACTTAGTAATATAAAGTTACTCTGGATTTGGATAGAATGTTTAAACATGCAAAAAAGATGTTTGATTCCATTAGTCGAGAGTAGGTATTAATGTATTCAGAGAGAGTGTGTGAATGTGTAATCTAGCTGTTGTGTATGTTTGAGAGACGTAATGTACAGACTGCCTTCAGATAATGAACAAATACCATGCATATTAATACATGTGTCTAACCTGAGGGGTTTGCACCAAATCCTGTTAGTCATAGTTTCCCTAGATCAGATCTATTGGCTTAGTGCCATTCTCTACATGGTTAATGGTCATGTCATAGTCGTCCATGCATGTATGACTTTATGTCTTCTAACTGCTGGTTCATTGCAACACTCTTCACACTCTTGTTAGACCCCAAAACCTGTCTTATTAGAGCATTTTCATCTGGCACAAGAGCAAAACAGCTGTACTAACACACACATCCTCCAGTCTTTAATTTAACGTTGCTATGTTTACACATGCTCCTTTTTCTTTGGCTTTTATTGTTCTCCATTCTGTATATTGTCAGAGCTTAGACTGCAGCAACAAGGCAGAAAAAGAAAAGCGAGAGAAGAGACACTTGATGGACATCTGTGATGTGGATCATTTGAATTTACACCTCTGTTAGTGCCCAGACACAGAATTAGCACTTAACGCCGTCAAATGAAACATTTCCTGGAGGCACAGCGGCAGCGAGTCATATTGCGTCCAGTGATGAGCTGTGTCCTCAACAGCTGCTGAAACCGCTGACGTCTATCAGCAGTAATGCTTTCAGAAGGCCAGCACGACCAGAGCCCCCCCCAGTCATAATCCCATTCATGTAAGATAAGGAATTATTAGCATATCTGGTTATCTTATCCTCACTGCAGAACCACTAAATGCTTGGCCTGCATCTCCTTGGAGCTCTTCGTTGAGTGTCCTTCAAATGGGCCCGTCGTGCCTCTCTGCTGTGGGAAGCATGGCCTCTATTGTCTGCACAGAACAGGTGCTGGACAGCTGACCTAGCTGAATATAAAGGAAGGACACTCTTTAGAGCTCATCTGATCAAAACTAAAAGACTGTGGAAGATTCACAAAATGCTAAGAGGCTGTGCAGCATTTACAACACGGCCCCTTAAAATGTTTTACTGCAACTCAGATAATGTATTTCTTTCAATTTTAATGCAATTGGAGGTCGGGTAGTTTGGTTTAGTTTATTTTATTTCACATGGACATAACAACAGCAGTGGCGCTGCAACATACAAGAATGCACCAGATGCACTGCATTTAGAATTGTTAGCGAAACACTAGATACTGGTTGTAATAACATCAGGGTGCAGTGATTCACACTGGCCCCTAACAGCAAGACGGTCCCTAGTTTGAATTTCTGCGTGGAGTTTGCATGTTCTCCCTGTGTTTGCCTAGCTTTCTCCCACAGAACATAAAGGAACAGAGGCCGTGTTGAAACTGCATGTGCATTACTTGAAAATGTCTTTCTCTTTTACTACTTATCTACCTTAAGTATCACGCGTTTTCCTCACATGGAATTTATGTAAATATATAAATACAAACCAAACCATTTACATGTATGAATGTTGCTTGAACCTAAACTTAACTTTGCCTCTCAAAATTTGATGAAAAACTTTGAGGTCAGTCTGTGGTAAGGTTATAGTGATTGTACATTTTACTTTTGTTCGCTATACCTTCCAGAATATAAAACACTTTTGTTTTAGTTTCAAAGGTGTTCATGGTTTTAAGCTAATATCAGTTTAGCAATTAGATCTTCTATGCATGAAGTCATATGTATACAAAATGGACAATATACTATCTAATGTCAGCGGCTTTTTCTATTTTTCCTTTTCTACACTACAACTTGGCTTTGACAGGAAACACTGCCATATTATAATGTATCATTAGTTTGCTAGTATGGTTTGTGGTATTGTTTTACCTGAACTGAATGATTTATTGCTGCTTCGTTTCAGTCAAAGCTCAGTTATTGTCTGTCATTTTTTAGGGGGGAAATTTCTGCATGAAACCAGACATCACAAAAGACACCTGGTCGTTTATTCTTGGCCTGTGCAAAATCCATGCTTTTATTCATGTGCAGTATCATCATCTGAAAATGAGTCAGTGCAGAGCAGCTGTTTGTTTCTGCTCCAGGAACAGTCCTTACAGGCAGCTTTACCTGAGTTCTGTCAGGAAATCACCCAAAGAGAGGATTCTCAGCGTCTTCAAGGTCGTTGACCCAGAAGGAACACGAGTCCTCTGGGGGAGGAGGAGTGAGTGTGTGATTTTCTCCACAGCAGAGATTACTCTCTGGCAAGTGACGCCTCCCACAAGAATTCATCAGTCAGATAATGATGTATTAATGTCGTTCAATACAAAAACGTAAATCAAGTACCAAGTCCCTGGATGCAGATAATGCATATCTCGTTCAGTGAAATACAAGTGTTTATCTTAAAGTCATGCATGGAAACAGTAATTCTTCTTCTCTGTTTCTCTCCTCCAGGATGAAATATCACCTCATGTCACTGGCCGACAAGTTTACAGAGGCTGAGGTGAGTTGTTGCTTAGCAACACGGTGAAATATTGGATATATCAATATGAGATAGCGATTCAAAGGTACTGGTGGTGGTGATACCGTCGAACAAGTTGAAGGTGAGCGTTGATGAATACCCAGGATCTGAGGCAATTTAATTTGATTTAAACCCCTTAACTACCAGCTACAGCTTATTACAAAGATCCTTCTCAGCTCTCTTTCAGGCCCCCCTCTTCAGCAACAGCACCATTCATAACCTACATGGCCCCTGGCTAGAGACACAGTAATCTCATTTGTACAGCAACAGATGTTTCTCTTAAAAACATCCGTTGACTGGGGAGTGAAAAGTCTGCCTCTCATTCTCTCCAGGGATCAAAGAGACCAGTCTAATCGCTATGAAATCTGTCACATTTGTAGTGGTTTGAGGAGACATATTGACTTACAGTAGGCTCACTATGTTGTGAAACGTAAATGCTCTCTTTCCGTGCCCCTCTCGTATGGCCTACACGTGTTTGACGAAGACTCTTTCATGTTCTGTGCAGCAAAAGGCCGCAGAGAAGGGAGGGAGGATGCATATAAAACAACAACGAAAAAACAAAACAAGACAAATAAACAGCAGAGCGTTCCCATGGCAGCGCAGTGCAGTAATCTGACGGCTGGTTTCCCATGGCTGTGTCTCCCTGCCCCATAGACCTCCACTCTGTCTCACTGATGGCTCCTGTGATTGCAATCATCCATCTTACTGTCAAAGGCAAAAGAGGGCAAGAAAGGGGAAATCAGACACACCATCTCTCTCGCTCGCTCCCTTGTGTCCAGCAAACAAGCCACCCCACTGTGAGCGGAGCCAACACATGGATAACAGTCCCCCTACACTGGGTGTGTGTGCCTTTTTGAATGTGTGTGCCCATGCTTGTATGATCTACACAGTGAACATGTGTGGGTGTGCATCTTTTGGTTGTCTGTGCCTGTCCATTATGCTGCATGATCAGGCACCGGAGTGTACACGAGGGAGCCGGGGACATGTCTGATCTTGCAGCTGATCAAAAAACTCCAGAGACTTGTTCCCTTGTGGCTGTGCAAAGCGGGCCTCATATCAACATGTCTCTGTTCAGTAGACAGGAAAAACAAGAGGAGAGAGACAGACAGGGGAGGAGGAGGAGGGGAAAAGACAGAAACAGGCAGGCATAGCGCAGATGAAAGGATGCATAAAGAGGCCAGAGTGAAATATATGACATTGATACATAACTGCACTTATCTCCTGGTTCTGATGAGATAATTGAATGGCAAAAGCCAGCTCTGTTTTTGTGTGTAGATGTGGCAGTGTGCATGATCCCCTCTGTAAGCCTGACAGCTCTCCTCGTCAGAAAAACTGTGGATTTCTTTTTTTCATTTTCCAAAAAAGTGCAGTAAATTCTCTACCTGTTTGCCTGCAGGTAAATCAGATGTTTACTAACGCCACCCCACACACCCTCCCAGTATCCTGAACTACACGGACCTGTGTTATGTGATCACCTACGGAGAGGACAAAAGAAAACAGAAGAACAAGGTTAAAAGAAAAAGGAAGGAGTGAGACGAAGAGGAGGAGGAGCAGCAGCGAAGCTTCTGCCTGTAAATACTCTCACCACGCTGTGAAGGTGTCCTGTTCAGGATGTGTGAATGTAATTATAATGTAATTATATGCAATTAAGCGGTGACGATGAAATGAAATCCCTTTGTTGTTTAGACTTTAATCTTTCTTCGACTATCAACATAAATGAATATCTGCTGAGTACATTGCTTTACAAATCTAACAACATCACACCGGAACACTGTTAAGGCAGTGAGACGTGCACAAGACACAACAAACACTTGAATTTAACAGGAAGGCCTTCATGACACTTGACTCTATATGGGGTAAGCCTTGAAACTAAACAAAAGAAACAGGTTTATCAACTTTTTGATTGTATCACTGTTAGGAAACACCCAGCCTGGCTCTGTCCAAAAGTAATTAAATCCCTTTCTATCACCTCTAATGCTCACTGAAATGCTTTATTGATTTGTACAAACAATGATCTACAAAACTGACAAGTCACGGTTTTACAGGTGGTCACGTGTGGCGACGTGATTCTGTGGCATTAGCATTCAAGCCACAACAACAAAACAGACAAACATCCCATCTTATTCCGAGAGGCTAAAAAGCAACCCCAGATAATAGTCTTGTATTAGTTACTTTTGCTGTTCTACATATTTGTATGAGTTTATTATCAAGTAAGCTACACAAATGCTGGCTATTTGAGAGAATACATGTTTCAGGCCTTTAGGCATTGGCTTTACTTTCAGGACCTGGAGTCTGTGTCCATTTTTATATACAGTCTATGCTTCCAACATAGCAGGCTGGCTGTTTCCTACTTGTTTTTGGTGTCTTTAGGCTAAGCTAAGCTTGCAAGCTCTAGGCTATAGCTTCAAATGAACAAAAATACAAGTGGTAACGTTCTACCCATCTAACCCTTGAAAGAAATTGAGTAAGCGTAATAATGCTAATCAATACTTTTTAACATATGAACCTTGTAACAAACATTATGCCAATCATTTGTTATTCAGAGACCAGAGACCAACAGGTTTGGCCTCCCAGAGACTCAGCGGCAGTTTATGAAGAAGTCAATGTAATCCTGTCAGGTTTAGTGCTCTGTCAGCCAGTTCACAGGAAGGTGCGCTGCAGCTGAGCATGCAGGGTTTGAGGTTTCCAGGCCAAAACGTAACTGTTTCAGCATCCCTTCCTTTAGCTTTCCAGATGTGCGCCCTCCAGATGCGATTCATTTCACCAAACGTTATGTTAAGCAGATCCTCTTGGCAGCTTGTTATGTCTTACCTCAGCTTTAACAAGGCAGAGCACAGCAAGACAGACGGACGGAGAAGAGAAAGAAGTATGTTTGACAAGCTAACGCAGGACCAACCCCGAGGTTGTTCCAAGAATGTGTTCGACACTTAACAGTACTACAGTTTGGATCCAGCGCTCGGGGAACAGGCATTTATCAGAGGAAAGAATGACGCCAAAACGCTCATAACACTTTATGAGATTATATTTCATAGTAAAACACCGTGTAAGTGCGGATGCTAAGGTTGTGTTGACTAAGATCCTGCAGTAACCGAATGAAAAAGGCTCAAAGAGGCCTTTCCTGTGTTTGAAATGCTCAACATCTCACAGAACTTCATTTTCACAACAGTACGTACTTGTGACAATAAAACACAATTAGACAAAAATAAATTCCAAAGTATAAAGTCACAAGGGAAAATTATATGAAAAAAACTTCCAGCAAAATTTGCAACATCTCTCACACATAAGACCACATGTACAGAATCAGACAATAGACTCTTAAAGGGGGGATCGTCTTTGTCTTCCCACCAGTGCTGAAGTTTGAGGGGTCGTTTGAAAGGGCTGAAGACGTTTGGTCTTTATGGCAGAGAAAGAGAGTGTGTCCAAAATGTTTCCAAATCCAGATCCCTCAGTGTTGTCTGTTTAAAAGCAAGAAAGAGATAGAAAAGGAGAAGAGTCAGTGGAAACAGTGCTCTTCTTCAGATTCTGCTTAAAGGGAAAAGGGAAAGACGCTTATTTGTTTTCTTGAGGCGAGCGAGATGAGAGGGTTGATATCATATCTGTTTGTATGGAGCTGCAGAGCCAAAGGGTGGTTAGTTTACTATAGGGAGTGTAAACAAGAGGCTTGGCTCAGTCTGAAGGAAACAAACTGCACCAACCAGCACCTTCACAGCTCACTGATAGACATGCTGTATCTTTTTTGTTTCATCCATATAACAATTTTTTTTTTAAATTAATCAATTCATTGTTTGGTGTTTTGAATGTCAGCAAAAAGAACCTTATATATCGAACTTTTGCCAGATAATCAGAGGATTCTTTCCTCATCCATACGTATTCCTCCATTTTTGTTTTTCTCCTCACCGTGAATGCCGATCATGTGCTCCAGGATCAAGACTCTCTCGGCCAGGATCTTCAGGGCCTCTCTGAGCTGCTGCATGGCCTCTCCCTGATCAACACCATCATGTTTATTCAGGATCGTTTTTCAAATAAGCTCAGCAAACAAGAAAAAAAAACATTGTCTCTTACCTCATTCAAGCCTGCTCCTGGCTCTCCTTTTGGCCCCGGTGCTCCCTGTTAAACAGAGTACAATAATGTTGTCATCTCCGCTTTGTGTGCATGTGTGCATGTGTGTATATATGTGCGTGTTTTATGTAACACCATAATCTTATACTCACAGGTACACCCTGCTCGCCTGCTACACCTGGAATCCCCTGGTAGAGGAAGGACATAAAAATATTTTAGACTCCTGCTCACATACACACTTCACTGTCTCGCATTCTTTATCCCCTGTGCTAATCTGCCTCTTCACCAGATCTCCAATCTTAAATCATGCTAGTCGAGGAAGGGGATCAGGTTTAAAGACGGAGGCCCACGAGAGAGCCAACTACAGAGGGGACCCGGCATGGCTTCCCTGATTAGTGAGGCCTGGCCTTGGACGAGAGAGAAAGAGGGGGATTAGTCACAGCTCGGAGTGAGTCTTTGAAGAGCAGCTCGCTCACCTTTAATGTGTTTAAGATTGCATGACAGAAAAGGCAATTTACAAAAACGTTGGACAAAAAGCATCTGATAGTTCAGCAGAATCAAATATGTTCAGGTGGCCTGCTAATCCAACAATAAGGATGTTTTTTTAAAGTGGCCTCACCCTTTCTCCTGGCTCTCCTTTAGGCCCCAGATCTCCAGTCTTGCCTTGGATGCCTTCCTTACCCTCATGTCAGATAAACAGAAGTGCATGTGTTAATGATGTTGCACATGCATTCATGTTTTTATTGATCAGCAGTCAGCCCGCAGTGAAAGATACTCACGTCTTGTCCAGGCAGGCCTGGTATCCCTGCAGGTCCTCTTGGTCCTAATGTCATTCACAAAAAATATCAAGTTCAGTTCAGTCAATTTAACACAGCTTTATTATTACCTCTGCCAAGAAAGTTATGGTTTCATCTGTTTATCTCATAGTTAGTATGATTAGGTGAAAACTATAGGATAGATTATCAGGAAACTTGGTGGATGGATGTGTTATGGGTAGAAAATAATTCATGAGCAGGTTCATGGACCTCATATGTATATGTTTGTGTGATTTGGTGCAGATCCCAATAATAATCTAGTAAAATGTGGTTTCATAAAGGGGCTGTTTGGCCTTGTTTGCAATATGAGTGCCAATCTTGTACCCAGAAAGTATTTCTTTCATGAGTCATCACTTAAATACTCAAAGCCCCATGTTCTCTTAATGTTTCCCTCACATTTCCCCCAGTACAACAATGAAGACTTTCCAAGGAGGTTGAAAAGGTCAAAACCCTGAAGTTATGTTTCACGAACTGTGTTAGAGATCATGATGGGATTAGCGGGGCGTGTTCCCCAAACATGGAGATTAGAAACATTTTTAATCCATACCTGTTGGGCCGGAGGGACCTGTTGGACCAGGTGGCCCAACTATGATCTGAGGAGCAGGAAGAGGTCTGTGGATCTCCTCTGGTAAAAACAAAAACAGAAGTGAAACTGAATGTTTATTTAAACCTTAGCACAAAAGAAAATGTGGACTGTGATAACATTAAAAAGACATTAAATACAATTTCCAACTGCGCGTAATTGAGGAGATGGATTTACCAGAATTTGATCCGTTTTTATGTCATAAATAGTCTCTTTATATGTCATTATACATCCTTTATATTTTCTTCTCAAAACTCAAACTACATTCTACTTCCTGGTAAGTGACTTAAAACTAGATTTTTAGCAATGTTTTCTGAAGGAACTCACAGGCTGCAACACTAACCCTAACCTCCCAAACACACGAGCAGATGATTGATTGGTTCATTGGTCTTCAACACAGTGTGACAAATGCTTGCAAACACAGTTTCCCATAAAGTCAGATGAGCCAAGAAGTTAATTGATTAATCTGATTACAAATGTAGTTGTAGATGAACTGTAATTTATCACAACTTGACTCAGGCAAAAAGAGGAAATATTCTCTGATTGTGAAGAGTATCAGAGAACCAAGCTCTGTATCCATGTTTGAGTTACAGACTGTTTTTGTAGTGTACTCTACATCCTCAGCACATCTTTACATGTGCCAAGGATGTATGTTATCTATACACCTACAGAATATACTGTAGAAGACCTGCAGAAGAGCGGAGACATTAAGGGTCAACAGTCTGAGTTTCATCAGCAGACGACAGGAGGTTTAAATCTGCAGTGACAGTGATGGACAGGAACAGCTGCTTCGTCTGAAGGAGGTCCCAGTTAATGGAGCAGTAAATGCTCGGACATGATAAGAAAACATGAATAAAGTGGAAGTTATGCTTTGTTCTCAGCATGTAGGATATCTTAAAAGAATAAATTTAGTTTGAGACCCCGCCACACTTCCACTTCCTCTCCACTTTACCATATGCTCAGGGTCAGTCTTCCCCCTGTGCTGAGATGTTGCCTGTTACAGTCCACAGACTGGGTCTAGAAGGAACACATTTCTATCTGGAACTAATTTTCTAATGTTACAGTCTCCTCGAGTCTGGCTCCCTCCCCAAGAAACTCCACATGAGTGGCAGACTATCTACTCCCTCATTCATAGCCAGCCCGGCGTTTTGGCTGCAGGCCACGGCCTGTTCCCCAAAACGCAGACTGTTGTGCTGACAGCTAACAAATTAGGTCTGATTTACAGCCAGTTGGCCCCCCTCAGCTTACACGGTCCCACAGACCCAAATCTACATAGTTCCAGACCCGCAGACACAGTCCTGGGCTCAGAAAGGCAGAGCCAGCCAAAAGCTTAATCAGAGCCAGAAGTCTTCTATGAGGTAATCATTACAGTACAGTGTTCTACTGCCTCCATGTGGTAAAACCATGGCACTCAAGTCATTTTAGTACATGGGTTTGTTCTTATATCTTCTAAGTGTGGTGGTGGCATAGGTGTCGACTTTGTGGGTGCTCTGCGGCTAAAGCACCCACAGAGAATCCCAAGCACCCACGTGTGCCAAGACATAGTCCGGGTAATGTTTACATAGACTTGACATCACTGTTCACGGTTGATGCTAGATTGGATCAAATGGAGGGACTTTGCGTCTGTAATTGGGTTTTTTGCTGTCAGTGACTTGCTCCAAACTCTCATCACCAATCAGAGCGTTACTCCGGACAATCAATAAAGATGTAATGACAATGTTGAGTGAAAACAAATCTAATTTGTAAATTTAGTTGTAGTTTGGGCCTTTAGGTTCGGGGTTAATGTACATTATATACAGCTACTGTGGCAGGAATAAACATAAAGGCAGGTTTGAGCCCTTTGGCAGGTGCAAGTTTGTTTGTTTGTAATTATGTTGACTACTGAGTATCATGGGTTGAAATGTCAACATGTGAAGATGATCTTTACAAACACTAAGAAATTGATCATTAAAGCTGTTTTCAAACATGAAAATTGGGTCTGGCCATTTTGCGGAGTTTGCCTTTTACATATGAACAACATAGCAGGAGGTTGTTTAGGTTAGATGCATTCACATCAACAAGAAAATGTTCAAAACATTAAGGCGAGGGGTGGCGTCTGGGTAAAACAGCAGGAGGCAGGACATGACGTATAAATTCCACTGTTGAAATCACATATTTTTGTTTACAGCACATGGACATTGGCCCTTTTCGCCAAAACCTCAAAAATTCTTTAGTTGAAATCTTTGTGTTTTCTGTGTGTTGCACCTCTTTTTCATCCTGAGATATTTGTATTCTTTTTGCTTTTTTCCAGTTTTGCATCCGCCATGTTTTAGAAACATCATCAATACATCCACTCACTCGCTGTGAATTTTCTGGACATTATCCAGCTGTATTCTTCCTTCGGCTCTTTCGAACAAACATCTTGCAAGCAGACAATTTCAAGAAGATGTTGAGAACAACTGACGCTGGACATTTGCATTGTCATATACAGCCCCTCCAGATAATTTTCAGGAAAAGGTCTGGAGTTCAGTGCATTTCTGAAAACAGCTTTAAACTCATAGTATGAGTTTCATCCTTGTGTTTTAGTGATCTCTGCAGGACTGGAGTAGAGAAGGAAGTGACTTATATTCGACTGGATATGATGGATGAGAAAAAAATATAAATGTATAAATATAAATATATTTTTCCTGACTTGTTCAGCTCCTGGGTTAATCTTCTGATTTATATGCTTGGGTCTGGCTCCGTTGTAGGTGGTGGTGTTAAGTGAGGTTGCAGTAAACAGTGGCACAGCAGCAGCCGAACACACGGAAACTATTAAACTAAATCTAAGCCAGCCCTCCTTGGGAAAAGAAACAATACTCTCTCCATTATGGGTTGAAGTCAGTCACTAAAAGCTAAAGACCCACATTGCTCAGTTAAACACTTGATAACAGCTACAGTCTGTTTCAGTCTCTGTGCTACCACCTGTGCCCCCCACCCCAAGTTATTTTCCATTCATAGACAGCAGTTTGGCCAATGTTCTGCCTGACAAAACGTTTGCAAGAAATGAACAGGACGGACACATGCATGAGATATGTGAGGGTTTGAAATTGATGAAACACATGATCCACTGTAGGAGGAGCTGTGAAAATAGACCTGAGGTTTTGGTATCAGTTTAAACCAATAATTTTTGTTTTGGGGCCAGAAATTAACCGTGTGTCTAAGATCTGTTTCTGTTATAATATCATTTAAATTCACCTGGGATTTGATTTGAGAGATTACATTTGTAGTGGAACAGTCTGCTCACCTTGGTCGTTTATTTGAAAGACATCCCCTCTCGCTCGGACAGGAGTGGAGCTTGGCCCAGGAGGACCCGGTGGACCAGGAGGGCCGGGTAGACCTCCATCTCCAGGTAAACCTCTGTCTCCTTTTGGTCCTGAGCAGCAACAAAAACAAAAAATATATAATTAATTTGTAATTTTTAAGTCCCAACGGTCACAAGTATCCTCAGACCATCTTTGCGGCAGCAGGTGAGACTTAAAGTTCTGATGATGTGTTACCGCTGGGTCCAGGAAGGCCTGGTCTTCCAGCCACACCCTGAGGTCCAGCAGAACCAGGAAGTCCTGGAGGTCCAATGGGCCCTGGAGGCCCAATGCTTCCTGGTGCTCCATAGAAAAGAGAAGACAGTCAGAGACAAGTGTATAATTCTAATAATCCTTCAGTTTAGATTTATTTCAAGGAGCAGCAAAAAAGTATAGCAAAAAAAATAGACAATGTCATAAATATTTTGAGGCGTGGGGTTGGAAAGAGGGATTTAATTAAAGACACTTGATTGTTTTGAATTACATGGGAATGTGGGAGGATGGAATTTTGACTCATACCATGGATTATAAATCAGAATATCTCAACCTCTGTAGCCTGAATTTTATTAAAATGGCTGAATTCTGCCCTGCATTTACCGTTCATTCATTCACACGTTATTAAAAATAAATGTTTCGGGATGTGTTGGCACCTGGTGGCAGGTGTGACGGAGGTCCAATAGGAGTGGGTTGAGGTGTGTCCACCTCATTGTCTGTTGAGCCTTCTGGTAAACTGTTGACTGTCGACAGTGAAGGACGTCCCTCTTCTAACAGCCTGATCTGCAACAACAGCAGATTCCAGTCACATCCGACTTCAGTTAAATAACTTGAAAATCATCTGTGTACAAATGCAAACGCTGGTACTGGGGATCTTCTTTACCTTTGATTCAGCTGCATGAAGTCGGCTGCTCATGTCAGTGAAGCTGGTACAGTTCATACACTCTGTAAGAAAGAACCACAGACAAGGACATGTTTAGTCTCCACATTACAGCATACATGCTGCAGCTTTCTACTCGTCTGTCTTTTCCTCTGTCTCCGTCTCTTTCATTTCTGTTTTCTCTCTTTCATTCCTGGCACAATGAAGCAGGTCCAGCCAACATACACAGGCACAATACCCATCAAACCAGCCCCAAGAATTTATTAGGAATTCCATCATACAGTAAATCATGTCATTCACACACAGAATAAATATTATTAGACCTCTCATTAAAGTCTCTCTCTTGCTGACACACGTTCTCTCTCTCCCTAAAACACACACACAGACACACACACACACAGACACACACAGAGCACGGTCGGTGCACACCTGCTTGTCTCCTGACCTCCTGACTCAGCATGTTTCTGTTGGTGCGCCCACTCACAGCGATGGCCTATATGCCCACGCTCACATCCTCCTCTAGGTACCAAAGCCAAACACATTAACTCTGTAAAGCTCATGGAAACACAAAAAAACCCCACATTTACACAAACACACTCACATACACTCATATTCCTACAAAATGAGATTTAATTGCACCATTTATAATTTATGTATAAAATCTAAAGTTTAAAGGTTGCTATTACAGCACTAAAATGCCCCTTACAGGCTGGTAATATTCAGTGTTTATTCTGTATATTCTTGTCCAATGAAAACCAACCACAGAACCAAACCAAACGACAATCAAAGACAAGTGTTGTCTGTGTATCCAAACTTTGACATCTCTGCAAAAGACCTCCTACAAATAAAAACAATCAGTGATGTGTTTCCTAATAAGATTTATTCTGCTAACAGTTCACCAAACATGTGCACCTCACTGATGAAAAGGTCCTGGATGTCCTTTTCCGTATATAAATCTATGAGTGCCACAACTGAAGGCATTGAGATGTTGGCTTTGGACAATTTCTATTATTTTACAGTCCTTACTTTTTGCTGTTAGTGTCCTCTAAAACACTATGTCCTTTTTTGTAATTCCTGTTTGTCAGTTACATTCTGTTATTTTCAGTCTGTTGTGAAAACTTTGGTCATCTCTCTCCCAAATTATACCATTCTAGCTACCACTAAACCACATATACTCGACGCCATGCTGTGCAGCAGTTGTGGTTCATTTACATGAGCTGTAACCCAGAATCCGAAATACAGAATGAAAAAACCCTGTATTTGTTCTAAATCTGAGTTTTTCCTCTGGTCCATACCTCATAGGAACTGTGGAATGTCAGCTGTCCATCCCAATGATGGGACCCACCCACATTGCGGTCATAGCAGGGAAACATAGAATGAGGAACAACTGGTGCTCATAAATAACTAACTAACAACAAAAAAGACCCAAATGGCTCTGGTCTGCCAAAATCATCGTCTCCAACCGCGACGCACAGGGCACTAACGGCAGCCGCTGAGGTTTCTGCCTCACTGAAATAGGCCGACATGAATGTCTGTACCATGTCTGTATGTCTATAATCATCTACATCCAGTCTAGCGGTTTATCAGACTGTGTGGGTGAGGTTTCTGAATGCCTTGTTCCATCAACATCTTGAACATCTCGTCCTGGAGCGTAGCCACGAACAGAAACAACAATCAACAGCTCAACCCAAAACACACATTCCTCGGGTTTCATCAGCCCAACTGCTGTGGGCTGTTCAACCGCCGGGACCAAAATGACCCCACATGATCTGCTTTGTTGTGACTGACTGCCAAGCGACTCCACCAAGGACAATCTGAGCCACACACAAGCATGGCTGTGGGCAATCACCGGCTCTGCTATGTGAGAGGGCTGATGAGCTGATGGGCCTTCATGTTCTCTGCAGTTATTCATCATGGGTCCAGAGGAAGCCTCCTCCCTTTGACACATATACACTACATCAATCTGCCATGTGTTCCAACTGTGATCTTGTGATGATGTGTTTAGCTTTAGTTTCAGCTAAATTAGTGGTGTGACTCAGTGGATCGCAATGTCATTTTATATGTGGGTTGGTCGGTCCACCAATTTGGTGCAGATTGAAATATTTAATAACTAGGCCTGGATGGGTTGTTGTAAAATTTGGTCCTCTGGTATTTTTCCCAGGATGCAACAACTTTGTAAATCCTTCATCAAACACCATTGTGTGAGAAATTCACTTGGTTCAAAACAAGCAAATTAATATAATCAACTTCAGCTGTTTGTGGTTAGCATGCTAACAGGCGTGTTTCATGAGCTAAAATGAGGCTATGATGGTTAGCATGGTTAATTTCTGGAGGTTTTGTATGTGGGAACACAAATGTCCAAGTGAGTTGCACTGGACATTTTCCGGAACTTTTTCCGAGCAAAATGTCTTTGAACTAGATCACAGTGAGCACACGTGAGAACTCAGCAGCAAGTTCGGCGAATTCGCAGGGAGTGAGTGGGAACGTTGTCAAAGTTTTTGATATGGGGCGGACACAAAACTGGAAGAAACAAATATCTCAGGATGAAAAATAGGTCCCATACGTGCAGAAGACACAGACAGTGATGTCAACTTGGAAAGACAAGAAGATTTGAGGGCTTTCGATAAAAAGGGCCAACAACACTGCGCTTTCTGCAGCGGAATTTATACACCATGTCACCCCGGAAAATGTCTGGACCCAATTATTTGGAGTTCTGAAATGTCTGAAATCCTAATTTACTGCTCATCATAAAGTAAACTTGTGAGGGACTATTTTACAGGGAGTAGAGAATGAATGAATGAATGAAGTTGTTTTAGAGACAGTCAGGGTCTTTTTTGGTTTCAAACCACTTTCACTCACCATTTCAACAAGCCGCAGAGAACTCACTGGGAAGTATTCCTACTTTTAAATTGCCTTGTAGCTGCTTTGCTGGGAGTCAGTTGACAGAGAAATCTCACATCTCTTCCTCGTCTGGGATGGATTCTGCTCCTCAGGCCTAAAAAGGAGTCTCTCTATAGCTCCGTTATCCACTCCTAACAAGATAACTCGTTCCATCTCCATCGCTGGTCAAAAGAGATCCAGAAATAATCCAGTCATATCTTATTATGTCATAAACACACACCACAGAACAGAACACCAGTTAAGTCTATGCACCATAAATGTGAACCAGAGCAAAACAACTGCATTTCATTTTCTATATGTGGCGGGAGGGATTTCTGTTTCTGCAGTTGGAATTTAATTATGTTGGGTTAGAAAACCAAACTTCCGCTGTGCTTGAGCCGATGTTTAGAACGGGACCGCAGTTATAGAGTCTGTTTGGATCCATAATTACACCATGGCAACACAAGACCGGGTTATTTTTCTTGGACTGCTCTCAGCTCATGGGAAAGAATCAGAATCATGTTGTCTTTAGTGGGAAGCAAAATAAACAGAGACTATCGAACTGTTTCTGCTCCAAAGAGAAGGACACATATGTTTGAGAAGTTATGTGAAATATTCAGATGCTAAAACTGATCTTCATGAAAAGTTGCTTGAAAATGATGCCAGGACAAGTATTACATCTGTTAAAGTTTTTTCCCATTTACAGAAGAGTTACAAAAATCACAACTACAGGATACTTTAATCTCATTAAATGCAATTAAAATATCAGTTTGCTGGATAATGAACCATGTAAATGGATAATACGACCATAAATAACAAGGTACAGAAACAAAGCTGATGTTAGTCATATGCTCAGCTGTTGATAGTTGGGAGAAATCTTGGAACGGCTCAGATCAAACTCCCTCCAGGCAAAGTACACGGTGTCAATAAGATAAGAAACTCTGTGTAGATAAATCTTCATTAGAACCTCACAGGAGCCAAAGCAATGAGCATGTGTCATCGCACCAAACTATGAAAGCACCGAGCTGTTTAACGAGTCATCATTAGTGATTGTGGTACAAGACAGAACAGGATAACTTGGCGAGGGTGTGAGTCAGACTGCAGGCATCGTCTGTCGAGACAGCTGCACTTCCTACATTAGAGCTGGATGTGGATCAAAGAAATTACCTGCTCTCTCTCTCTCACACTCACACACACACTCACACACACCCTTGTATATTTATCTTAGAGAGGACAATCATTGGGGTAATACTTTCCCTTATCCCCTACTCTAAAAAACATAACCTTAACCTTAACCCTAACCTAACCATAAAAAATCTCTTTACTTTAAAATGTATATTTAATGGTATGGGGACCATAATGTGATTGTGTAAACAGATTTAGGACCCAACAACATACCTGGACCCCCTCCCCCCCCCACACACAAACACACACACAGGCAGACAACCTAGAGCCAAAAGCCATGACATACACAGATGAGGACAGTAATTTTAATCGTTAAATGCTTGTTCAGGAGGACAGAAAAAAAGATAAATTAAAACATCTTCTTGGACATTCTTATCAGACACTGTCAGATCTCGCAGATACACACACACACACACACACACACACGTCTGTGCCCAGAGTCTGTGTGTGTGTGTGTGTGCGGCATTCAGACCACAGACACCCTCTGACAACTGGCTGCATCCCAGGACCCTGTTGTGTATAGGCCCCAGCCAGCAAGTGGTCAGCTCTTGCTGGCATGAAAAAAACAGCTGGCACAGAATACACACCCACACACACACATATATGCACAAGCAGACTCACACACAATGTCACATACGCTCTCACTCACTTAATCACACACCCACTTTGACTGCGGTGGCTGGTGGAGGAGGGTGAACGAAACCCTGTTTGAAAACCAAGATGTCTACTTGTCCACAGAGGGACCATTAAGTATTTCTCACCATGATGCCAGTTGACAGGCCACACACTATTAATATAAACACTTTGCAAGTAAGAAATGCAAAGAATTAGCAGTTTAAAGAACTTGCCTTTACATTTGATACACAAGCCATTTTCAGGCATGAACAGGTGAAAATGTCTAGAACATTTTTCAATACAGAACATAAAGAGAGATGTCTCAAACACTGGCTTAGTAAGTGCCACCACTCAACAGACATAGTCGTACCACAGTAACAAACAT